AGTTTTAGTCTCCAGGGTTCAATATTGAGTTGAACATGAGGAAAAGGAGTAGCAGCACTCTAATATACAAACAGCAGACTTCTTTATTATTCAATCCTTGACGATTAAAAGACAGCAATACAGGGCTCTGGGAACATCAGTAGATGCGTTTCACACTCCTTTTAGTGCTTATTCATTATTTTATTCAGTTCCTCCACTCCAAACTCGCTCATCCATGTCTTTATGGACCTTGCTTTGTGCACTGGTGTGTAGTGATGTTGGAACAGGAAGGGGCCATCCCCAAACTGTTCCACAATGTTTGGAGCATGAAATTGTCCATAATGTCTTGGTATGATGACGCCTTAAGAGTTCCTTTCACTGGAACTAAGGGACCAAGCCCAACCCCTGAAGCACAACCCCACACCATAATCCCCCCCCCCCCCCCCCCCACCAAACTTTACGTCTGGCACAATGCAGTCAGGCAAGTACTGTTTTCCTAGCAACCGCCAAACCCAGACACGTCCATTGGATTGCCAGAGAAGCGTGATTTGTCACTCCAGCGAACACGTCTCCACTGCTCTAGAGTCCAGTGGCGGTGTGCTTTACACCACAGCATCCAACGCTTTTCATTGCACTTGGTGATCTAAGGCTTGGATGCAGCTGCTCGGCCATGGAAACCCATTCCATGAAGCTCTCTACACACTGTTCTACTGTGCTAATCTGAAGGCCACACCAAGTTTGGAGGTCTTTAGCTATTGACTCTCCAGGCATTTCATTCTGTCATTTTACGTGGCCTAACACTTTGTGGCTGAGTTGCTGTTGTTCCCAGTTGTTTCCACTGTGATGTAATACCACCAACAGTTGACCGTGGAATATTTAGTATCCAGGAAATGTCACGGATGGACTTATTGCACAGGTGACAACCTATCACAGTACCACGCTTGAATTCACTGAGCTCCTGAGAGCGACCCATTCTTTCACAAATGTTTGTAGAAGCCGTCTGCATGCCTAGGTGCTTGATTTTATACATCTGTGGCCATGGAGGGGATTGGAACACCTGAATCCAATGATTTGGAGGGGTGTCCCAATACTTTTGGCAATATAGTGTATGTTTTTTATTGCATAGTTTTATACCCGAGTGATCCTTGTTGAAGCTGCAGATCTCTGTAGTAGTTGCTACAACTATAGTGATTGCAGCGGTCTTCTGGGTCCAGCTGACTTTCAATATAGTAACCACATGGAGTCACATGCTCCACACTGCCACCTTTTTGTATTCTTTTCAATAAATACAAAGCATTCTGTGTTTGACTGAGGTAGAGATTGTGACATCACAGTCCTGTTCCTCCAACTTGTCCAATTGGGGAATGCCTTGTGTTCTTTGAAGAAAAAATAAAAAGACATTCTGTAAATGGCAGCTGAGCCAAGTGAGCGCCCCATTGTGGTTACTATGCAGAAGGGCAGCTACTTGGCACTAGGCCCAGAAAACTGCTGCTATTGCTGTAAGGCGATTACTACAGTGATTTGCAGCTTCAACAGGCATCAGTCAGGTATGAAATAAGCGTACTTACTGTACATTTTCACAACCTGAACCAAAGTAACTATACAATACAATTCAGACATAAACTACAGATCCAGTGTGTATTGTTGGTGAGAGATTGCAGCACAGGCGGGTTTGTATGTGGGTAATGTGCTTGCTTGGGACTCCCCTGGCGCTGGCCATTTTTCATGTGAATGATCCAACACATCCAGGTGACAATTTGGATGGAGTTTTGATGTCTTGGCTGCAGTTGGGTTTTAATGCTGTTAGTGAATACATCATTGTCTGTGTGCAGATTTGTATGTGGCATGGGATAGAATACACCGTCTGGGTGTGGTGAGTGCAGATCAGGGCACTGAGATCTGTTGTAGGCTGAGTATAGAATTGAGCAGATTGGCGGTAGAATCCTATCTGTCACAGGGACATACTATGCTCCTGGGGGCCACAGTCTACCACGTCTATTCCAGAGGTTTGTTTGGTTTAGTCACAAGCTAATCATTATCCTGCTCTGGAAAGCTTTCGGGCAATAATATGAAAGTCCACAATGAGATCATCAAGGTAAAGGTGAATTCTCCAGCAGCACCCAATCCTGACAACCAGTCACTCCCTGAGCCAAATCTCGGTCCAGTGATGTGCATGAGAGCAGAGACTCTCATCTCATTGGCTCAGATACTGCAGCGGCAGCCATTGGCTCCTGCCGCTGTCGATCACAGCCAGTGGGGGGGGGGGTCAAACCGTGCTTTGTGTGTCTTATGGACACACAAAGCTGGCTCAGGAGTGAGCACGTGCAAATGCCTCCATAGCAGGCTGCTTGCTATGTGGCCCTCGACGTGGGGGGGAGCCAGGAACGCTGGCAGGGGATCTGAAAAGAGGAGGATCAAGGTTGCTCTGTGCAACACCTTTGCACAGGGCAGGTAAGTATGACATGTTTGTATAAAAAAAAAAAAAAACTAATTGAGCCTGTCAAATCACTTTAAATAAACAAACAAAAACTGTACAGTTTTGCAATTTCCACCACTTGCAAAAAAGGCACAATTGAACATTTGCAAATATTTATTAATTCCATAAAAGTTTACAGTTTAGATTTCATAGTGATTGCGTACTCTTTATTTTGTGTTTGCTTGGTCTAATATTAGTTTTGGTGTGATTTATTTATTTATTTTGTCAATCAAAAATATCGATTTGATAAACATTTGACCAACTATCAAAGGACCTGCAAAAGCAGTGGAGGGAGACTCTGGTGGGGGGCACCTATCGCCAGGCAAGGACTCTGGTGGGGACACCTGACATACAGTTGTGTCCAAAATTATTCAACCCCCAATGCTGTAAAGGGGTTTAGGGACTATAGTGTACATTTGGAATTGTATTCAGAATCAAATCCTACAAGGACGTTGTAACTACCCAAATGCAACTAAAATGACATCAATTGTTTATGTAATACAGTAGTAAATGGTTCTTATGTGGTTTTCTTCATTGCCACAATTATTCAACCCCTTAAAGACTACCACTCTGAAGAACAGAGGTTCATACAGGTGCTTTCCATCAGGTATTGAAAACACCTGTGGATGTCACCGAGCAGCAATCAAGCATAATAAGCACCAATTAGGCAGCTTTAAAATGACTGTGATACTCAGCTCCTTCTAGACATTTACTGGTGTGTTACAAACATGGTGAAGGCAAGAGAATGGTCCAGGAAGACAAGAGAAGAGGTGATTTCTCTTCACAGGAAGGGCAATGGCTATAAGAAGATTGCAAAGATGTTAAACATACCAAGAGACACCTTAGGAAGCATCATTCGCAAATTCAAGGCAAAGGGCACTGTTGAAACGCTACCTGGTCGTGGCAGAAAGAAGATGCTGACTTCGACTGCTGTGCGCTACCTGAAGCGTAGAGTGGAGAGAAGTCCCCGTGTGACTGCTGAGGAACTGAGAAAAGATTTGTCAGATGTGGGTACAGAAGTTTCAGCCCAGACAATAAGACGCACACTGCGTAATGAAGGCCTCCGTGCCAGAACTCCCAGGCGTACCCCCTTGCTGTCTCCAAAGAATAAGAAGAGTCGACTGCAGTATGCCAAAAGCCATGTGGACAAACCACAAAAGTTGTGGGATAGTGTTCTGTGGACTGATGAAACAAAATTAGAACTGTTTGGGCCCATGGATCAACGCTATGTTTGGAGGAGGAAGAACAAGGCCTATGATGAAAAGAACACCTTGCCTACTGTGAAGCATGGTGGAGGGTCAATCATGCTTTGGGGCTGTTTTGCTTCTGCAGGTACAGGGAAGCTTCAGCGTGTGCAAGGTACCATGAATTCTCTTCAGTACCAGGAGATATTGGATGGAAACGTGATGCAGTCCGTCACACACCTGAGGCTTGGGAGACGTTGGACCTTTCAACAGGACAATGATCCCAAGCATACCTCCAAGTCCACTAGAGCATGGTTGCAGAGGAAAGGCTGGAACATTTTGGAGTGGCCATCGCAGTCACCAGACTTAAATCCGATTGAGAACCTCTGGTGGGACTTAAAGAAAGCAGTTGCAGTGCGCAAGCCTAAGAATGTGACTGAACTGGAGGCCTTTGCCCATGAAGAATGGGCGAAGATACCCGTAGATCGCTGCAAGACACTTGTGTCAAGCTATGCTTCACGTTTAAAAGCTGTTATAACTGTAAAAGGATGCTGTACTAAGTACTAAGATTGAATGTCACTTGGGGGGGTTGAATAAAACTGATAATGCTGTGAGCACAGAAAAGACATTTGTGGTTATTTCATTATAACTGTTATTTTATATTTGTCTGACCTACAAGTGCCTCTTAATGTAAATGTAAGCAAGATGACTGAATGATCAAAAGCAATGTCAAACTGGCCAAAACACTCAATTTCAGTGGGGGTTGAATAATTTTGGACACAACTGTAAGTTGGCACTGTGATGGGGAGACTCGATGAGGGGGCACACTGAAAATTGACAAATATTATTAAAATGCTATGGAAATGGTACATTGCTTGTTTTATGGACTACATATATTCAAGGATCTGAGTCCTAGCACAAACATGAGATTTGAGCTGCTGCTGGAAGAGAATATTATTGACGTCCCGTCTTTTTATTTCAGGATTAGAGTGTATTTTCCAAATTCTGAAAGCTATATATCAAAAATTACCAAACTGGTTTGGCCACCTGAAGTTAAAGAATGAGCTCATGGCCTGGCAGTGAGTGTAAATCTTACTTTGTAATGCATCCTTTTTTCTGTTCCGCTCACTTTATATCCAGAGTGGCGTTCCTTTCGGATCCTTCCATTTCATAGCTTGGCTTCTCTTCTTCCATCTTTTCTTCCTGCTCTTCACTTTGTCTGTCTCATTCACTCTGGTGACCTCTGTCAGGTTGGTGGGGTTCATATTTGGGGGCATCTGTGGACAAGTTTCATGAGGACCCACACACTGATCTTTCTTGTTATAAAAGTAATATTTGCCCTTTTCCCTTCTTTGCTTTTGTCAGACATTCTGCAAACTGTTTGTCGCACTCACATGCCATCCTGCCACAGAGTGAAGATGATTTGCATTCGGTTTGTGACTGATTGCAGGAAAAGCGATACAACTTCCACTTAACCTTGCTGTGGCATTGCAGTTCCACCCTGGTGTAGCGGTAACAACAGTCATGAAGAAGGCAGCATCGATCCACATCATCGACGGGTGTCCCTGAGCCACCAGCGCCACAATAACATCCGTATAGGTTGATGGCCAACAAGGGAACTTTGAGTCTTTCTCTGTAGCACAAAAAGGGTCACCGCCATATCCAACAAGCCGCGTTTTTCACGCACCGGAGTGTTGGTACAACTTCCATGCATCTGGTAGTGGGTGTAGCATGTGTAGATCAGGATGAAGAGCAAAGGCTTGTTCATTGCAGATATGTGGCAGATTGTGGGGATTTTCTGTTGAGAAACAAAACAGAATTATTTTTATATCTGAAAAAAAGGTAAAAAACTTGTAGGCCCTCTTCCTCACCACTACCACCAAACAACCCACCTAAAAGATAGCATGCAGCCCCTCAGATCTTACACATGCTGTGGCTGGGATTCTGTGTCCTATCAATGGGCAGTACTGCTACCAAACGCAATCCATTCAAGTGAATGGAGCCGCACCACAGACAATCAAATGCTTGGCTTGCTCAGTTGCTGATCTCCTTTCAGAGAAGAGGTAGAGTCTAATCAATATAAACCCCACTCCAAAATGTACCCCTTTCTTCTTGTATTTAATTCATCAAGAAAAGAAACCGCATACATTGATATCCCCACCCAAAACCACCTTCCTTGATGCCTTTCACCACTGCTGGATTGCTCACAAGGATAGGGGATTTTCCCCTGTGGGGCATGTAACTTTTTATTTCTGATATATTAAACTGTCACTCACTCTGGGGATAGTGTGCGTTATCAGACTGCGGGCAGGTATTTGACAGAGCAGCAACTGTTCGAGATTAGCTGACCTCTGAATCTCAAGGCTTGAGTCCTCCTTAGACAGAGGAAGTTAGTCTAAATAAGGGAGCGAATGTTATGTTTCATATGTTTACCAGACCATCGGTGTCATCAGTTACAGTGCAGGACTGCTGGCCTTGCATTGTATGTGATGACCTCAGTACCTATGACTGGCAGAATGACAAAAGCCTGCTGAAGCAATGAATAGGGTAAATCTAGTTGCTTTTTATTCTTCCCCTAGACCCTGGGCCTCCAAACGTTTCAAACAAAGAGCGAGTTTACTGTTCTTCAGACTTTAGGGGGTCCACATTGTAGCCAGTTGGGGTAGAAGATGTCCGGGGCCCAGCATCAGTGAGACTGAACATGGCCTCAGGGTTGGTGGTCAATAGGAGGGAGGAGTAGTGCCCCATCATTGGTATTAGTGGGAAGAATAGTGCCCCATCCTTGTTATTAGTGGGCGGAATAGTACCCCATCATTGGAATCAGTGGAAGAAATGGTGCCCAAATGTTAGTGTCAGTAGAGGGAATAGTACCTCATATTATTTGGAGTAATAGTGCCCCATCATTGGTATTGGTGGGAAGAATAGTGCCCCATCCTTGTTATTAGTGGGTGGAATAGTACCCCATCATTGGAATCAATGGAAGAAATGGTGCCCCAATGTTAGTGTCAGTGGTGGGAATAGTACCTCATATTATTGGTAGTAATAGTGCCCCATCATTGGTATTGTTGGGAAGAATAGTGCCCCATCCTTGTTGTTAGTGGGTGGAATAGTACCCCATCATTGGAATCAGTGGAAGAAATGGTGCCCCAATGTTAGTGTCAGTGGGAGGAAAATGAACCTCATATTATTGGGAGGAATAGTGCTCCAAGGACCAGATAAAGGCTAGCAAAGGTCTGCGGCTTGGAGACTGCTTGCCCTGGACTAAAGGAGCCTTTAACTTTTGCAGTATTAGGGAAGTTTTTACTGCAAGGGCATTTTTTTTTGGAGTTCATCTGTTAGATTGAATGTTCAGGTTCATTAATAAACCTGATTGTGACTGGTTGTCTATAAATGCTTCAGGAAGTCTGACAGCTTTCATTCTCACCTGGACTGATGTTACGTGAAATTCAGGTACTAAGACGGCTTGCCTTAAAAAAAAAAATACTTTTAGTGATGTATTAAAAGAGACGTTTGGGGAAAGAACAAACCTATATATTTACCTAGATGGCTGCAGTATGCAACTGAGCTGCAGCTTTCCCTCACCAGCTCTAAGACCGAGAACAGAGCAATCACATGACCGTTGATCCCTCGATTCTTGGTCTTCAGTGAGTAGAAGGTGGTGACTGTCAGTTTCCAGCTCACTGCTATGTCCTTCCAGCGCTCACTGGAGCACTGGGCTGTGGAGGGGGGGTGGGTGTGTTTGGCCCAGGCTCTCAGCAGCACACTGAGATGCTGAGCCAGATGCCCGTCAGTCATCTGCGAATCTTGACATTGTCGGGACCCCTGCAGAGCCTGGACCAACTCTGTGATGTCAGCCAACACAGGGCTGTAGCCCACTGCTGGCTGATTCTCGGTCACAGGACTGTAGCCCACTGCTGGCTGATTCTCGGTCACAGGAGTGCCTAAATAAGTGCATTCCTGTGATCCATGAGAGAAGTATGGCCAAAGGAGCTTTGTCCATACTTTTCCTTTTTAATAATTCCAGAACTACATTAACTTGACCATTTTATGTACGCCTAGAGCTCAGCTTTAAGCTTGGTTGTAGACTACATAGCAGCAGTAGGGTCTTCCTGTGCAGATGTTAGGCTATTCATCAAGATGACCCAGGATACTGAACCTGGAAGAAGACCTGGTGAAGATATTGGCACCAGTGAGGGAGCTTGTGGACAATGCAGTGCTGGAGGAAGAAGTATTGTTCTGCTTTTGTAAGGATAAGCTTTGTTTTGAACTTTGTGAGCATGCTTTCAACCAGGGGCGGACTGACAACTCATGGGGCCCCCGGCAATTGGGGATCATGGGGCCCCTGTGTCCTTGCCCACACTCAAAACACACCCAAAAAAGCCTATAAAAGGTACCAGGGGCATTTTATGGGGCCCCCTACTGACCCCGGGGTCCTCAGGCAGTACCCGAGTGCTCGAATGGTCAGTCCGCCCCTGCTTTCAACATAACTAGAGTTACCTACAGACTTTGACAGTCTGCCTGCCCAATCAGACAAGATTTGGCTACTTAAGCTGAACTTTTGGTATGTTTTTTTATTGTATAGCTTATACCTTTTATTATCCTTGTGGAAGTCGCAGCTCACAGTAGTAGTTGTCGCTAATTCTGTAATAGCAGCTGTCTTATGGGTCTAGGTCAAGGCATCCTCTTATTGGCTGAAGTGGAGATTGTGATGTCAATATCCTGCTCCTCCCCCTTGCCCAATCAGGGAATGCTTCGTGTTCTTTTGGAAAAAAAAAAAAAAAAAATACAAGGCATTCTGTGAATGGCGGCCGAGCCAAGTGAGCAACTCATTGTAGTTACTATGCAGGAAGGCAGACACTCAGCATTGGCCCTGGAAAACTGCTGCTATCACTGTAATGCGCTTACTGCAGTGATTTGCAGCTTCAACAGACATCAATCAGGTGTGAAGTATGTATACTTACTGTACATTGTCACAAGCTGAAGCAAAATAACTATACAATAGAATTCACACTTAAACTTGAGCTTCATTGTATATTGTTGGTGAGAGATTACGGCAAAGGCGGGTTTGAATGTGGGTAATGTGCTTGCTTTTGACTCCCGTGGCACTGGCCATTTTTCATGTGAATGATCCAACACGTCCAGATAACAATTTGGATGGAGTTTTAATGTCTTGGCTGAAGTTGGGTTTTAATGCTGTGTGAGATGTTAGTGGATACATCTTTGTATGTGGCACACTGAAACCGGGGAGTGCAAAATCTGGTGCAGCTTTGCATAGAAAACAATCCGTGTCCAGATTTTATTGCCAAAGTTTAATCGAACAAGCAGAAGTTAGAAGCGGATGGACTACCATGCACAGCTACACCAGATTCTGAGTGCTCCAGTTTTAGTAAATCCCCCCCCCCCCCACAGTCTAGGTGTGGTGAATGCAGATCAGGGCACTGAGATCTGTTGTTGCAGGTTACATAGTTAGTCTGGCTGAAAAAAAGACAAAAGTCCATCCAGTTAAACCATTAAAAAAAAAAAAGTTATAATCCTATACCCACAGTTGATCCAGAGGAAGGCAAAGAAAAACCCACCAAATCATGATCCAGTTTGCTCCTGCAGGGGAAAAATTATCTTCCTGATCCCCCGAGAAGCAATCAGATATTCCCTGGATCAACTTTACCTATAAATGTTAGTATCCAGTTATATTCTGTGTATCCAAGAAAGAATCCAGGACTTTTTTAAAGTAATCCACTGAGCTGACCAGAAATAACTCTTGAGAGAGTCTAATCCACATTTTCACAGCTGTTACTGTGAAGAAACCTTTCCGTGTTTGGAGATTAAATTTATTTTCCTCCAGACGTAAAGAGTGCCCCCTTGTCCTCTGTAATGACCTCGGGATGAATAACTCTACACCGAGTTCACTATATGAACCACTGATGTATTTATACATGGAGATCATATCCCCCCTTATGTATTATACATGGAGATCATATCCCCCCCTTATGTATTATACATGGAGATCATATCCCCCCCTTATGTATTATACATAGAGATCATATCCTCCCTTACGTATTATACATGGAGATCATATCCCCCCTTATGTATTATACATGGAGATCATATCCCCCCTTATGTATTATACATGGAGATCATATCCCCCCTTATGTATTATACATGGAGATCATATCCCCCCTTATGTATTATACATGGAGATCATATCCCCCCTTATGTATTATACATGGAGATCATATCCCCCCTTATGTATTATACATGGTGATCATATCCCCCCTTATGTATTATACATGGAGATCATATCCCCCCCTTATGTATTATACATGGAGGTCATATCCCCCCTTAGTCTCCTCTTCTCAAGAGAGAATAAATTCAGTTCCTCTAATCTTTCCTCATAGCTGATCTCCTCCATGCCTCTTATCAGTTTGGTTGCCCTTCTCTGTACTTTCTCCAGTTCCCCAATGTTCTTTTTATGAATTGGTGCCCAAAACTGAACTGCGTATTCCAGATGAGGTCTTACTAATGATTTGTACCGGGGTAATATGATATCACTCTCTCTGGAGTCTATACCTCTCCTAATACAAGAGAGGATTTTGCTCACTTTGGAAACCTCAGCTTGGCATTGAATGCTATTATTAAGCTTGTGATCTACCAGAACCCCCAGATCCTTCTCCCCATTGATTCCCCCAGTTGTACCCCCCTAGTATGTATAATACATGCAGATTCTTAGCCCCCAAGTGCATGACCTTACATTTATCAACATTAAACCTCATTTGCCACATAGTTGCCCAGTTGCATTGAGGTTGGCTTGTAAGTAGGTTGAGTATAGAATTGAGCAGATTGGCAAGAAAATCCTGATTGTCACGCTGACATACTATACAATAAACTACAGCTCCAGTGTGTATTGTTGGTGAGAGATGCAGCACAGGCAGGTTTGTATGTGGGCAATGTGCTTGTTTGGGACTCCCCTGGCGCTGGCCATTTTCATGTGAATGATCCAACACATCCAGGTGACAATTTGGATGGAGTTTTGATGTCTTGGCTGCAGTTGGGTTTTAATGCTGTTAGTGAATACATCATTGTCTGTGTGCAGATTTGTATGTGGCATGGGATAGAATACACCGTCTGGGTGTGGTGAGTGCAGATCAGGGCACTGAGATCTGTTGTAGGTTGAGTATAGAATTGAGCAGATTGGCGGTCGAATCCTATCTGTCACAGGGACATACTATGCTCCTGGGGGCCACAGTCCTACCACGTCTATTCCAGAGGTTTGTTCTTTTAGTCACAAGCTAATCATTATCCTGCTCTGAAAAGCTGACGGGCAATAATATGAAAGTCCACAATGAGATCAGCAAGGTAAAGGTGAATTCTCCAGCAGCCATTCACCCAATCCTGACATCCATATCTTGACATGTGAGCAGATATATGTCCTGATTGTACTTTGCATGATTGAACATCTGCAGCATTCTCTTTGTATTTCTGATTAAAGAAAACCAGTCATTCTCAGCTTAAAGGTATACACCTGTCAAAGATGAAGACCTTAGAATGCATACAGGGAGGAAAACCTACAAGCTCAGCACTTCAATCAGATATCCAGTCCTTCAATCCCTCTTTCCTAGAGTGCGTCTATTTAAAATATATATACTTCTAGCAGAACAAAAGTAAGCAGATACTTCCCCCCCTCACTCCTTCACTGGTGTTGACATTTTCTCATTGGATGTGGGAGTCTTCAGCTGTCTTGATTGGCCAGCGGAGAATGGCGTAACACACATATGCGCACAGGAGTTCATTCATGCCAGCTCTGAACTGTGCTGGGAATGTACACAGAGCTGTGTATGCAGTAAAGAGGGTGAAGGTTCATTAAAAAAAAAAACAACAAATATATAAAACCTAGCGTTCAAATTTAAGAGGGGGGAAAAAATCACCACACATACACATAACATACACTTTTGCAATTTTCACAAATTACAAAAAGACACAATTGAAAATTTGCAAATATTTCTTTATTAGCTACGGTACATACAATTTTACAGTTTAGATTTCATAGTAATCTCTGTACTATATTTTGTGATTGCGTGTTCTAATATTGATTTCAGTGTGTTTTTTTTTTTTTTTAATTAAAAATATTGATTTGATAAATATTTGAGCAACTATTGCAAGACCTGCAAAAGCAGTGGCACCATATTTTTATTCTATTAGTTCTGTGCTTTCAGAAAATGTATGGTTTAGAGCAGGCATCACTAAATGGCGAAACAGGTTTAGGCCAGGTGACAGTCCCATCTGGACCACCAGACAGCCTCCAGCACAGGTTCTCACATCTTCCGCAGTTATTAGTTGTTAGGACAGCTGGTGTCCTAACAATCAATGACATCACGTGCATGGCCTGCCCCTGAAATCACATGAGGACGAAAGTGGAACTTGATCCAGCTCCCCCTTCTGCCTGTCTGGCACTAAAAGGGTACAGGGATATCTTATATGGGGGGGTATAATGGGGGCATTTGATATTGAGGTGGACTGTAATGGAGACATCTGTTTTAAGGGGGAATATGAAAGGGGCACTCTGATGGGGGCTCTTGATGTAACTGGGTATTCTGGTGGGGACGCCGGACGTAAGGCGGCACGCTGGTGGGGATGCCGGACCTAAAGAGGCACGCTGGTGGGGTCGTCGGACCTAAGGAGGCACACTGGTGGGGTCGTCGGACCTAAGGAGGCACACTGATGGGGTCGTCAGACCTAAGGAGGCACACTGGTGGGGTCGTCGGACCTAAGGAGGCACACTGGTGGGGTCGCCGGACGTAAGGCGGCACATTGGTGGGGTCGCGGGACGTAAGGCGGCACATTGGTGGGGTCGTCGGACCTAAGGAGGCACACTGGTGGGGTCGTCGGACGTAAGGCGGCACATTGGTGGGGTCGCGGGACACTGGTGGGGTCGCGGGACGTAAGGCGGCACACTGGTGGGGTCGCGGAACGTGAGGCGGCCCACTGCTGGGGTCGCCGGACGTGAGGCGGCCCACTGCTGGGGTCGCCGGACGTGAGGCGGCCCACTGCTGGGGTCGCCGGACGTAAGGCGGCCCACTGCTGGGGTCGCCGGACGTGAGGCGGCCCACTGCTGGGGTCGCCGGACGTGAGGCGGCCCACTGCTGGGGTCGCCGGACGTGAGGCGGCCCACTGCTGGGGTCGCCGGACGTGAGGCGGCCCACTGCTGGGGTCGCCGGACGTGAGGCGGCCCACTGCTGGGGTCGCCGGACGTGAGGCGGCCCACTGCTGGGGTCGCCGGACGTGAGGCGGCCCACTGCTGGGGTCGCCGGACGTGAGGCGGCCCACTGCTGGGGTCGCCGGACGTGAGGCGGCCCACTGCTGGGGTCGCCGGACGTGAGGCGGCCCACTGCTGGGGTCGCCGGACGTGAGGCGGCCCACTGCTGGGGTCGCCGGACGTGAGGCGGCCCACTGCTGGGGACGCCGGACGTGAGGCGGCCCACTGCTGGGGGTCTCCGGACGTGAGGCGGCCCACTGCTGGGGTCTCCGGACGTGAGGCGGCCCACTGCTGGGGTCGCCGGACGTAAGGCGGCCCACTGCTGGGGTCGCCGGACGTGAGGCGGCCCACTGCTGGGGTCGCCGGACGTGAGGCGGCCCACTGCTGGGGTCGCCGGACGTGAGGCGGCCCACTGCTGGGGTCGCCGGACGTGAGGCGGCCCACTGCTGCTGGGGTCGCCGGACGTGAGGCGGCCCACTGCTGGGGTCGCCGGACGTGAGGCGGCCCACTGCTGGGGTCGCCGGACGTGAGGCGGCCCACTGCTGGGGTCGCCGGACGTGAGGCGGCCCACTGCTGGGGTCGCCGGACGTGAGGCGGCCCACTGCTGGGGTCGCCGGACGTGAGGCGGCCCACTGCTGGGGACGCCGGACGTGAGGCGGCCCACTGCTGGGGTCGCCGGACGTGAGGCGGCCCACTGCTGGGGTCGCCGGACGTGAGGCGGCCCACTGCTGGGGTCGCCGGACGTGAGGCGGCCCACTGCTGGGGTCGCCGGACGTGAGGCGGCCCACTGCTGGGGTCGCCGGACGTGAGGCGGCCCACTGCTGGGGTCGCCGGACGTGAGGCGGCCCACTGCTGGGGACGCCGGACGTGAGGCGGCCCACTGCTGGGGTCTCCGGACGTGAGGCGGCCCACTGCTGGGGTCGCCGGACGTGAGGCGGCCCACTGCTGGGGTCGCCGGACGTGAGGCGGCCCACTGCTGGGGTCGCCGGACGTGAGGCGGCCCACTGCTGGGGTCGCCGGACGTGAGGCGGCCCACTGCTGGGGTCGCCGGACGTGAGGCGGCACACTGCTGGGGTCGCCGGACGTGAGGCGGCCCACTGCTGGGGTCGCCGGACGTGAGGCGGCCCACTGCTGGGGTCGCCGGACGTGAGGCGGCCCACTGCTGGGGTCGCCGGACGTGAGGCGGCACACTGCTGGGGTCGCCGGACGTGAGGCGGCACACTGCTGGGGTCGCCGGACGTGAGGCGGCACACTGCTGGGGACGCCGGACGTGAGGCGGCCCACTGCTGGGGACGCCGGACGTGAGGCGGCCCACTGCTGGGGTCTCCGGACGTGAGGCGGCCCACTGCTGGGGTCGCCGGACGTGAGGCGGCCCACTGCTGGGGTCGCCGGACGTAATGCGGCCCACTGCTGGGGTCGCCGGACGTAATGCGGCACACTGCTGGGGTCGCCGGACGTAATGCGGCACACTGGTGGGGTCATTGTGCGTAAGGCAGCACACTGTTGGGGTCGCCGGACGTAAATATTAAAATGCTATGGAAATTGTGCATTGCTTATTTTCTAGATTACATATAAACAATGATCTGAGTCAAAACACAAACATGAGATTCAAGCCACTGCTGGAAGAAAATCTTCCTGCCTGGACCTCTTTTTAATTCCATACCACTGGTTTTAGAGTGTATTTCGCTTGCGGTGATTGTAGAGTGTATTTCACAAATTCTGAAAGTTTTTTTACATGTGAAAAATTAAAAAATGGCGTGGCCACCTGAAATTAAAAAAAAAAAAAAATGAGCGCATGGCCTGGCATCGAGCGTAAATCTTACTGTGTAATACATTCTGCTTTGATTTCCGTTAGAACTTTCTGAGTGTACCGCACACTAATGGACACCCAGACGTTCTATCCAGAGTGGTGTCCCTTTTGGGTTTCAGCCTCTTCCTGCTTTCTGCTTCGTCTGTCTCTTCCTTCCGATGGCTGCTTCCAGGTTGGCTTGGCTCATACTTGGGGGTACCGGTGGACAAGCTGCATCAGGGCTCGGACATAGCTTTTTCTTGTTATAGAAGTAATATTTTTTCTCTCCCTTCTTCGATGTTGTCAGACATTCTGCAAACAATCTATCGCACTCGCATGCCGCCCTGCCACAGAGTGTATTCGTTATGCATTCCGCCTTAGATTGCTTGCAGGAAAACTGGTAAGCGCTGGTCTTGCTGTGGCATTGCAGAGTCTCCCTCGCGTGGCGGTAACAACAGTCGTGAGCGAGGCAGCATTGATCCACTTCATCGACAGGGGTCCCGGAGCCACCAGCGCCACAATAACATCCATATAGGAAAAGGCCTGTCAAGGGAACACTGAGTTTGCTTTTGTAGCACCAAAGGCTCACCGCCATATCCATCAGATTGCGTTCATCACGCACCAAAGTGTCGGTACAACTTCCAAGCATCCAGTAGTGGGTGCAGCATGTGCAGACCAGGATGAAGAGCAAAAGCTTGTTCATTGCAAATATGTGGCAGAAATTGGGGGGTTTCTGTTGGGAAACAAAATGGAGTTCTTTTATATATGGTAAAAAAAAGCTAGGAGGCCTCGTTCACGTGGTTGACTGGGCGGGGGCTGTAAGAACAAAAGCGGTTGAGCTGCAGTTTTAGCGCCCCCCTTCCCAAAAGCCCACTTAAAAGATGCATGCAAGCACTTGGGAACTTATACATGCGGCAGTTGGGATGCTTTTGCTTATACCTTGTGCCACGTTCAGTGGGCAGTATGGCCACCAAATGCAGCCTACAACAGCAAACCAAGTGCTTGGCTCACTCACAGTTGTGGTGCTGTATTTATATAGAGAATGCTCTGCCTGGCTGTCAAAGAAAATGAAAAAAAAAAAACAGACATTCAGGAGGCAGCAGTATTGCCTCTTGAATGCCTAGCAACCATTGCTTTACTGCCCTCTGAAAAGGGATCCACACTGGGGAGGTAGATGTTGCTGCAGTTGTGCATGAACTCATGGGGGGGGGGGGATTTAAAGCTTTCTCCACTTATAGCCTATATATTACACCTATATTTAGGGTGTAACCTATTGATAAGCGCCCCAACCCCCTCATGCATAGACCTACCTCCAAGTCCCATCTTATAGTTCACAATGGACTATGAGGGCACTGGTCATCACATTCATAGTCCATTGACTTTTTCTGCAGCTCAGTAACTAAAAACCCATATTTATTTATTTTATTTCAGGTACTTATATAGCGCTGTCAATTTACGCAGCGCTTTACATATATATTGTACATTCACATCAATCCCTAACCCTCAAGGGGTGTACAATCTAAAGCCCCTAACTCACATTCATACAAACACCAATTAGGACCAATTTAGACAGGAGCCAATTAACCTACCAGCATGTCTTTGGAGTGTAGGAGGAAACCGGAGTACTCGGAGGAAACCCATGCAGGCACAGGGAAAACATGCAAACTCCAGGTAGGTGGTGCTGTGGCTGGGATTTGAACCAACAACCCTAGTACTGCCAGGCGGAAGTGCTAACCATTTAGCCACTGTGCATATGGAGATACAGGCAGAGAGCTGTTGGAAGTGTCAGCGGGAGCTGGACATTGCACCCACGATCCACTGATAGCGGGTGTAATACTTTGCCTGCTTCTGTGTAGAAAAACATGCACTTTTTTTGCCAGCAAAAATGTGCATTTATTCTTTTTTTTTTTTTTTTTTTCTTGACCCCTTCCTGACTCGTCTCCCAACATTTAGATCCTGTTAAAGTAATTGGCAATCACAGCGGTCATATGATCAGAAAGCTCCTGATCACAGGTATGCACCAGGAGCTTTCTGGCACCCACTTGTTACTGTGCTGGGAGCAACACTGCAGATACAGGACACTGTGTACATCGGCACGATATCCCGTATCTTAGAAGTAGCAGCGCTATGCGAACTGACCACACCAACATGGGTCTAGTTCCACGCTTGGTGTGGTCAGAGTGTAAACATGAAAAAGGAAACTTGCTGATTTATAGTACAATGGAACAATGAAATCTCCACTACTCAATACGCTTCAATATCTGTATAGGCATCCCAGAAAGTGATATGTGAAAGAAAACTAGCTTAAACTGAAGAAAGATCCAAAACGAGTGTGGTTCAATCCCTCTTTTTGTATAGAGTCCATCCATAAAGCAATGGGATTCTTTGTATAAACAGCATAAAGCATAAATTCATTACAGATCGATGTGTCCCTTCACCAATTCAAATGGAGACCCACTCACCAGATACTATTGCCTCTTTGAACAAAGATCGGAAAAAAAAAAGTGCTCTAAACTATTGTTAGGGGTAAATGCTTCTCTCGTGCTCTCTGATCTCTCCCTCCCCCCCTTATCTCCTCTTTTCCCCACAGTATTCATATAACGAGGACATGGAAAATGAAACTACATAGCATAAGTCCTCATGCACACTGGTCGTTTTTACAGCGGCTGTTTTTTTTTGATGTTTTTTTCTACAGCTAGTAAACCCCCAGCATGTTATCCTATGTGTCCATACACACAGACAGTAATCAACGTTTTTTTGGCTGGAAAAAACCCAGGACTAGTTGGTTTCCAGAGGAGCTTTTTAGCTGTAAAAAAGCTCCAATGCTGAAAAAAATGCAGTAAATCATGGTAAAACACTGCAAACGGGCATTTTTTGGCTTTTTTCTTTTTTTTTTTTTCACAAAAAAAAAAAAAAAAAATGCTAAAAACGCAAACGTGGGAAAATGCCGCTAAACGCTAATGCAAAAACACTGAAAAAGTCATGCATTTAAAGTGACTTTACATAGCTAACATCACCAGTGTTTTCAAAACACCCCGTGTGCATGGAGACTTAATACTACTAGACCATAGGTATTTGTGAATTAAAAAGCAAACATATATCTTACAAAGCGGATCACAAGGTATGTGAAGCGGTGTGCAAATCACTATCTTTTTAGTAAAACCTACAAGTGCCATAAAATGTATACCCGATTCTATATCCAGGTGTCCCGCCACCACTTTGGATGGACAGTCACTCACCGTCTAATGTTGCTTCTCTTTATAGAGAGATCAGCAAATTCCTGTAATCCTATGAAGCTGTTAGCAGGAGTCTTCCTTCTCCTGTCACTCCACGGTATTCATATCATAAGACCATGGGAAAATAAAACAATACATGGCATATGATTGCTAAAATCAACTGTTATTTATTAAAGCGCAAATATACTCACAAACATTTGTCATCCTTGTGATTTTCTCAAGAGAAAGTCATGCACAGTGTTTCTCAGGCTCTCCCGTTCTTTTGGCTTCCCTGAATTAAACTAGAGGGACTCAATGGGGGGTAACATCCATTCCCCGATCCCTCCTGCGACTAATAATCCTAGGACCAATGAAAAAGTGTATAAAAAAAAAATAAAAAATCCCCCTGTTTACACCCCATTTAAGAAGTATAGCATACAGTGGATATAAAAAGTCTACACACCCCTGTTTAAATTGTCGGGTTTCTGTGATGTAAAAAAATTAGACAGATAAATAATTTCAGAACTCTTTCCACCTTTAGTGTAACCTATAAACTGTACAACTCAGTTGAACAACAAGCTGAAATCTTTTAGGTGGAGGGAAGTAAAACTAAAACATTTTAAATTATTTGGTTGCATAAGTGTGCACACCCTTAAACTAATACTTTGTTGAAGCACCTTTTGATTTGATTCCAGCACTCAGTCTTTTTGGGTATGAGTCTATCAGCATGGCACATCTTGACTTGGCCACTCTTCCTTGCAAAAACACTCAGAATATGTCAAATTACGAGGGCAGCTCCTGTGCACAGCCCTCTTCAGATCACCCCACAGATTTTCGATTGGATTCAGGTCTGGGCTCTGGCTGGGTCTTTCCAAAACATTAATCTTCTACTGGTGAAGCCATTCCTTTGTTGATTTGGATGTATGCTTTGGGTCATTGTCATGTTGAAAGATGAAGTTCCTCTTCATGTTCAGCTTTCTAGCAGAAGCCTGAAGGTTTTGTGCCAGTATTGACTGGTATTTAGAACTGTTCATAATTCCCTCTACCTTGACTAAGGCCCCAGTTCCAGCTGAAGAAAAACAGCCCCAAAGCATGATGCTGCCACCACCATGTTTCACCGTGGGTATGGTGTTCTTTTGGTGATGTGCAGTGTTTGTTTTTGCGCCAAACATATCTTTTCGAATTATGGCCAAAAAGTCCAACCTTGGTTTCATCAGACCAGCACACATTTTCCCACATGCTTTTGGGAGTCTTCAGATGTGTTTTTGCAAAATTTAACCAGGCTTGGATGTTTTTTCTTCATAAGAAAAGGCCTCCATCTTGCCAGTTTAGCCCTGACATATGAAGAATACGGGAGATTGTTGTCACATGTACCACACAGCCAGTACTTGCCAGATATTCCTGCAGATCCTGTAATGTTGCTGTAGGCCTCTTGACTGCCTCCCAGACCAGTTTTCGTCTCGTCATGTTCTAGGGTCATAGTCGAGGGTTAACTCTAAACTGATGACCTGTAAAGGCTTTTAAAGCGTCATCTATGGAGAATTTTGGGTAGCATAATTTTTTGCAATTCCACGGACATGTGCAATTTTTAATACATGACTTATTTGGCATCTATTGATTCAGTGCAACCCCATCTTAATATTTTTCCAAACAAATTGGGTATAATACTGTTTGTTTGCACTAAAATCCATTTTATTTCATTTTTTCCGGGAAATATTGGTTTCATAAATAACCGTGCAAATATTGTGCAACATATTTGCAACTACCACCATTTTATTCTCTAGAGACTCTGATTTCAGGAAGCAAAAAAAAAATTTCTGGGGGGTTTACAGTGATGTCTAACAAAAAATGCTGGCTTTAACGTGCAAAAAAATGGAAAAATTATCCTAGTAGACATGTGGTTAATGAATATACTTATCTTTCATCTAGCTTCTGTACTACCAGGCTCAGATCATGCCTGTCTGATGTGGTAGTGCAGTAAAAAAATATGAGGGAAGCAGAGGATGAATGGTCAGCAGGACAGTGTACAGAGAGTCTCCAGGGTAGAGGATATGGTTAATAGTTTGTATGGCAGTGTATAAGGTATCAGCAGGGAGAGAGAATATGGTCATTAGTTTGTAGGGCAGTGTACAGGGGATCAGCAGGGCAGGGGATGTGGTCATTGGTTTGTAGGGCAGTGTACAGGGGATCAGCAGGGCAGGGGATGTGGTCATTGGTTTGTAGGGCAGTGTACAGGAGATCAGCAGGGCAGGGGATGTGGTCATTGGTTTGTAGGGCAGTGTACAGGGGGTCAGCAGGGCAGGGGATATGGTCATT